TCTGAGAGCATCCGAGCAAAGGAATGAATGGAAAATCATGATCGCCGATGTCTGTCGCAGATCTGGCACTGGATGATGATGATGATGATGATGATAAAAATCAGTGCGGTCTTGTGTTTGCTCTTTCTCTTGGCAAACTTGTAAATCACGATTTCCTTGTTTGTAATTTTTTTTTTATCACACTGCTCCAATGTGTAGTATCACTAACCCATTATCATGCCCCCGATTACATGGAGCAAACACTCAGTTTCACCGATCCTGCCTCATTTAACCATAATCAATATCGACCGGATGCGAGTTCGTGATCAGCCTCTCCAACAGGTCTAGGGTGCAGGGGCGGAGCGGAGCTTTAGCTCAGTTGGTATCATGCTGGACTACAGAGCGAATGGCCCTGGTTTGAAGTCCACAATGCGCGTGCTTGAACTCGCTTCGTTTTGTAGAGTTTTCAAGGTTCTCAGCCCATTTGACTGGGTCCTATCGGATATGGACGGTAAATTCGGAGGTCCAGCCAGTTATATAACCTAATAGTGTAGATAGGGGGCATTAAACCCATGCTTAAGAGTAGGGCCGAGTACCGGAACTCCCATTAGGTCTCCGCCACCTATTGGATACACAGCTCCAACGTCGCATTTCGAATGTTTGATTCCCTTTTCGACAAATAGGTTTCGAGCTCACTTCGTCACTGGTCTATGAACAACATGAAACGGTCTAGTACCGACTATCGATGTTTGGACTAATGAATATGAATAAAAGCCAAGTGTTATAAGTATGAGGGGGAAGTTTTACAAGTTGTCCATTCAGTGACACTATCATGTTACCAGCCGCTAAATGTTTTTGTCTCCTATGTAGTGTTTTGATTAACCTTGAGTTTAGTGAAGCTACCGAGACGAAAAGTTCTCTCTTCAAACTGTGGTATGGTTACATACTTGATATACCCACAGGGAGCACCACGGAAGTAGGTGGTATGACAGTATCCATGTGTGTCTTTCACTGTCTCGGCGACAGCCACTGCAGGTATCATCATCATCATCATCATCATCATCATCATCATCATCATCATCATCATCATCATCATCATCATTATCATCATCATCATCATCCTGTACACAGAGAAAGATCGTTCTTTCAATGCTGTTTGCAATAACTAATTCTCTTTGAAATAAAAAACAATATTCAGAGCCGCAGTGTACTAAGCTCGTAACAACCGACGGTGAGTGTGTGCTGGGCTATATTGCTGTATGTCTAGAGAGGGACAAAATAAACGTGCGTAGTAGTAGGTCAAAGGTTGGAAGAAAATTTCAGTTGCAGTGAATGCAAAATGATTAATGTTTAGCCATTTCCTGTGTCCTATTGTACCTGTTCGCATCGACCTTTTCTGCCACTTCTATTCTGGAGCTGTCCATAAAAGAGTTCTTCGGACATTCCCACATTTTCATACCGCAGACGAGTCCAATATATGTGAGCCTGGGTTGTATAAGCAGGAAAAATAGTCTGGTAGTTCCTAATCTTTCCCCTGAAGTGTTGTGCACACATACTTGCAAACTCTGTCTTTGTTTTGTTTAATCATTGTACATTGTTTCTATGTGATTTTCATGCACTTTTGTGATATTATATTGCTAGTGTTTTCCACGCTGTTCACCAACCACTATTTCTAACATTCGAGCAAAAAAACTCCTAAACAAATCTATGTCTCTCTCGCTCTCTCTCTCTCTCTCTCTCTCTC